GTTTGAGCACCGTTTAAGCACCGGCACCGTTTCAAAAGTACCGGTTTGGCACCGGTATCGGATAAAGCCTAAACGATACCCATCCCTAGTCACCAGTACCCTTGATGATGAGTTTTGACACCAGAGTATATATCAATAAAGATGTTGTTTGACAACCATTATACCATGCTCCCGTGTTTTTCCAAGGTTATCCTTTGTAAGGTCTATAGGTATAGATCATTTTCACTAATTTCTGATGCACACCCAGTCATTTTGTTCTGAAAGCAGGCCTGAAATATGTCTGAAACTGCTCAGCTCAGAAAAGTGAAACAAGGCTTAACCCTAGTAGTTGTGAGTTAAATCCTTTTTTTTGTAACTCATGCCAACTTTAAGTGTGTCTGATGTCAAATGAAGTACACTTTTGACTACTGCAATTTCAGTTCCTCTTCCTATACTGTCCCTTTGTTTGCAATACAATAGGCTGTCGTATACACAGTCATGTGAAAAAGCAAGCATGCATCCAAAGGAAATTATTGATTTTTTCACTGATTCGGGGGTGGAGGTGGACGAGTGGGGGAGGTGGACTTGATACTACAGCCAGTACATGCAAGAAACCCCCCTGAACATCTCACAAAGAAATGAATGAGCAAAAATAAAAGTCTGTAGTGTCGTTTAGGTATACCAGCTTCACCAGTCTGCACTTTCAAAGGTTTGGAAACAGGTGATGACTGGACAGAGCATGAAGGAGATGAACATGTGTCACCAACTCATTTCATTTGACTTCTCCGTGCAATCAATTTCTCTATTCTTGCATGAGCTCAATCGGTCATTACATGGACTTTGTACTGTGGAGCTTAAAGGGAAAGCCAAGTCCATTCGAACGATTCTGAAGTTCTCATGCATAACTCAGTATGGTAATGTCTAGAAAGGTTAGGGCTGCAGTGCATGAATAAAAACAACTTGAGCTAATATTGCTAAGTGGCAGTATTAGCTGCACTAATACACAGTTACTTGTTATTAGTACAGGCAGAGAGGATGTAAATGTGTTATTTATTTTAGCGTTTTTGACCGTCTTTGTGTTTAGCAGTCTAATTGAATATTATAAGCAAAAGAAAGAAGCATCCTAAGGGTACTTTACAGTGTCACATAACATTTAACATAATGATATATTTATTTACTATGTTTATATTGTCAGAACTTCTATCTTGCAGTAACTGAGGTATATCAGATCCTGTGTATTCTGTGTGGGCAAGTGCATAAGTAACTACAACTTCATGTTTCATTAATCAGTCTGAAACACAAACAAATGTCAAGCTCATTTATTGCATGTGCTGATAAGATTCCCCAGGCGACCCACTAACAACAGCTAACCTGCTGAGCTACAGAGAATAACACTCCCTGGCTCCACCAACAAATACTGTTGCCCCATTAAAGCTCTATCACTGATGAGCTGCAGTTCTACACTGAAATTACTCTCCCTCCAGTATACAACATATCTCCTTCCATCTCTGAGGACAGATGCAATTTTCTGCATTATTTTTGCAACAGCCCTTAAACTATAGAAAACAAATTAAAAATATCAGCCCTGTTAACAAAGACACACAGTAAACGGAACATATATTCCATGTACATCCACTGGATACCTTATTAGTACACTTTGCCAGTACTGGATTCCCTGATTGCCTTCAAACATTCCTCTGAGATTTTGGTATTTACATCACAGCATCACACAGTTGCTACAGATGTACTGGCTGCTCATCCATGATCTGAATCTCCAGTTCCACCACACTCCCAAAGGTGCTCTATTGGATCTATTGACATCTGGTGACTGTGGAGGCCATTTGAGTGAAGTGAACTAACTGTCATGTTCACAAAACCAGTTTGAGATGATTTGAGGTTTCAGTCATGGCACATTACATAAAGTCATCGATGTAGTCAGCAGCAATACTCAGGTGGCTGTTGTGTTTGAATGTCTGGGGGACTTAAAGTTTGCCAAGACAATATCCTCCACACTGGATAGTTTCTCTTTTTTTGAACATTTGGTGCACGTGGTTGTGTGGGAAAATTCCAGTAGATCAGCAGTTTTTGAAATGCTTAGACCAGCACATTTGGCACCAACAAATATGCCACATTCAAAATCATTTAAATAACCTTTCTTCCTCATTCTGATGCTCATTTTGAGCTCAATCAGGTCATCATGACCATATCGACATCACAAAATGCGCTGAGTGGCTGCCATGTGATTGGCTGACATACCTGTGTTAATGAGCAGTTGAACAGATGTACCGTAGTTTTCGGGTCATAAGCCGCTACTTTTTTCCCACACTGTGAACACTGCGGCTTATACTGACATGCGGCTAATGCATTTTTTTTTCATGCGGCCAAAAACATTTTGCCTGGTAACAGCAGACCAATAAAATTGATAAGTAGTATATATACGGTATATATTTTTACCGGTTGTTAAGAGATGTTGTAATGTTGTTTGTGCACTGTTCCGTAAAAAAAACATAAGCAACGTAATTTGTGTGTTACTGATACGTACATATACTTAAAGGTAGCCGTGTTACAGGCGCTGTTCGAGGAAAAGAAGCATTTGCAGTATGTATTTTTGTATGTTACCATAACGTTTATGTTACCATGTTTATGTTACCTTACGGATTAAATTAAACGTTAAAAATCCTCACGTGTAATATTTCTGTGTAAATATCTCATATTACGAGTGAAACGCATACGGCTTAAAATCCGGTGCGGCCTGTACAAGTACAAAATTGATTTTCTTTCTGAAATTAGAGCATGCGGCGTTTAATCAGGTGCGCTCTGTAGTCCGGGAATTACGGTACTAATGAAGCATCCCATCAGTGTATAATTTATTGAACAGAAAGTGATATAGAACATACAAAGCACATATCATACAATAGATCAAAAAGTAACGTCAACCATTTAAGTCCTTACTTTATAGGACGAGTTTCTGGAATCCAGCTGGTGAGGGTGTGGATAAAAGTGAACTGGTCCATCCCCCCGCAGACATCTGACAAACTGAGAAACAAACACATAAGAACCTTTTTTTTCTTTAGTTCAAAATATGCAACATACCAGATACAGCACTCAAACTACCATTTTTAGTACTGGCACTGTTCTCAAACAGATCATGTGAGGTGACGGTTTCAATGCGGGAAATAAGTGTTTAATGTGATTGGTGACAGGGTGGTTAAATCATGAGAATGCTGTTAACTGAGAAGAAATATTGAATGTGTCTTTCTGTTTTCAAACATAGTAAAGAACTGTGTGTTCAGATTGTGTCATTAATTTCCGATCATGCTTTTGAATTACAGCTAATAGGACAACAAAGGTCATTGATACCTAGTAGTATTCTAAGAGTCACATTATCCTGACTTGGGCATTTTTATAGTATAGTTTTTTTTTAATACATATCAAGAACACCGAAAATTTAGGTTCAGGCTACATTCAGCATTGTTGAATTTGCATTAGTTGGTAAACCTTGTAACTGCTCAAATAATTCTGAGGAGTGTGTGTGCAAGAATGTCTATATTAGGTATCCTTCTCACACAATTTTCGCTTGAAACAGACAGCTGCCCTTGCTTTAATTGGTCCTTTTGGGATTTTATGACGTCCACATCCAGTCCACGTTCCTACTATGTTTGAGTAAGTGAAATTCATAAAACTTAAATGGTAATGCCACAGTCTTTAATCCTGCCAAAAATCCTGCTCAGCACCAAAGTGAATGAGACCTCATATTCAGCTTTTCACAAAAAAATGACAAAAAGTTTTTCTGAAAAGCAGTAGCGAACACCTGAGCAGGTAAATTAGACATTTATTATGTTAAAACCTATGTCTTATAAATTATTATTATTATTATTGTGAGGAAGACTCTTTATTTTCTGCCCTAGCGGAAACATCTATGTCTCAACCTTCAAGCGACAACAGAACAGCCCCATCAGAGGCATGAACATTGTCTATCTGCCACCAAATTACACTGTCAAATTACACCCATGGCAAATACACAGGATAAGTCCTGGGAAGGTACAGCCAAGTCAGCAAATGGCACTCCGCGGGGGTTCTTGTGCATGTGTGTAAGCTTCAAATTTTTTCAGCAAATGTGGGCAACACACATATGTTTGCCAGCTTACGGATTAACGTCCTGAAACTAAGTTTCACAGTGAAAATTGGAAACATGAAAACATCTACAATGCACTTAGATGGGGAGGAAATAACAAAAAACAAAGTGAGCAGATTTAATGACTTGCTCCATTTTTCACGCATATATAGTTTATCCCCATATATATTTATTGAAATAAATTAAAATTTGACACTGTACAGTAACCCTGCTGAAATTAGGTTTAGTGTACAGTCTTGGGGTGCATACTGTGTGATGTATTTTTACTGTGGCCTTATTCGCTGCTACTTACAAAAAACTCGAGGTCTATTCTAAAGCAGCATTACATTAGGATTATAAATTATTTCCCCAGCTCCTTGGGGTAGTACTACTTATAAATTTCTGTCTGAACATATGTTAACTCACTTTGTGTTTGCCACTTTAATTAGAGCTTTAGCCAGCAGCATTGGCCATAACTCTGACTGACAGGTAGAGGCAGGGAGAAGCAGGTTATTGTCCTCATCAAATGGCATAAAATCATCCACTAATATCTTCCTCCAACAACCCTGAAAAAAAGAAAGGAAGGAAAGAAAAGACAGTGAAAAATAAAACAACGTAAAAAAAAAAAAAAAAGAGTGCTCCTCAAATAAGAGGGCTAAACCATTGATTTGTGTTGTTTAGATGATTATCTGGAAGATTATTTTGTTATTTTATACAATAAACAACTTTTTTGGAGTTCCAACTTTTTTGGAACTGGGGTTGCATCTTCAGGATAGGACAGCCTTTTGGTATTGCTGTCCCACATTTCTCCTTAGCATTTGCCATGATTATGCTTGTGTCTTAAGCCATTATCTGTGTTGTGGTCTATCTGGAGGCCATCTGAGGGAGTTTCACGCTGCTTTTAAGGAAACGCAGCAAAGCAGGTAATAATCACATCCGCAGTTCTCCTTATCTATCAGAACAGTGTACCCAAGTAATGCAAACCCACACAGAGGTCAAACTAATATACCATTTCTCACTTGCTCTACCCTTTTCTTGTCAAACCACTGCCCAGATAAGGACCGGTGGATGAAAATACAGTGCAATTGGGGAAATTATAGGACAGATCAAGAAAAGCAGGAATGGGAACGCAGTGTTGACAGGATCCATACGGAAAAATATAGGCATGGAACCACAAAGAATCACGTGACTGAGAGAAAAGGAGCAGCCTTTAAGGAAAAACAGAGAAGGAAATGGGAAGAGGGTGATGGGGGCTGGGTGCTTAATGCCATCTCAACAACCATCTGCTAGCGTGCTAAGGTTGGCACGGGGACGGCTGCCTACAACCATGTCAGTCTTGTTTGTCAAGGCAAGAGTCACAGTGTCACAGTCACAGAACAATATCACTCTGTCTTTTTCACTCTCTTGTTGACCCAAATTGTCTCTCCCTCTGAAAAGACACAAAGATGCAAAGTCTGCCATACAGAGATTCTATGGCAAGCCCTCAGACTGTGTTCCTGTGCGATGATGTTTTTAAACCTGTGAAGTCTTTATACTTACACATAATCAAACTGAACGACGCTATCGTGCAAAAAATCCTCATAGGCTGTGCCTGCTCTCAGGGTTTTACTAAGTGTAGTTATCAAACTTGAGCTTTGCTCTGTGAGAAGCAGCTGACTCCTGTTAAGCCTTATCTATTCATCAGGCAATGTATGAAGCCCAGCCACTTTTGGTACAGCAGCGAGACTGATTGATTTGAGCTCTGAGAGGATAAGGCTTTCTCATCCCTTCCCCCCCTACATCCCCCATCAGTCCGTTACCACTCCCTACTCATGTGCTACATCCTGCAGTCTGTTGAAGAATGTATGACAATGTTTTGCAATCCAGCTATGCCTATTTTTAAAAGATTCATTAATAAACAGTTGCTGTAAAGCTGCAACTTCATAAGCAGCGCTAAGAGAATTTTCTAGTTCTGCATAAACGTCAAACCAAAGCAATTCTCACTAGTAAAAAGGGCTTCTTCCGAACCATAGCTATGTCTGAGTATGTGTCTGGATCCTTACCATCCAGTAAAGTCTGATGATGTATTTGCCATAGCTGTTGAAAAGTGGCACATGACCATTCACCACCTTACACATAGAGTAGATGTGCCCCCAAGGTCTCCATCCCTCGTCCTCTGTAGATGGGCAGTTAAACTGCATCCAAAGAATGTGGATCTCGCTGACAATCCACCTCATCAGCTTCATGGAACATGGAGCAGAGACAGGATAGAGAAGAGAGAGGAAAAACGGTCTGTATCAGTTAGCGAAACCCTCAATCATCTGATTTTTAATTCACAAAGGGCATTACATCTTCCCCCATATAATTTGTTTCTGTCAGTCAGACATCACTCTGCTGACATTGGAATTAGACTATCTGAGCACTGATGGATGACAGCTAACAACAAGTCAGTGTAAAGTAGAAAAACAAATATTGAATACTAACCTCACTACAAAGCAGATGACAATTAGGGGAGACTAGGTCAAATGTCATTTGATTGTCAACGACAGTGGGAGTCTGAAATAAAGCAAAAGAGTTTTCACTGTAGGTAAATTATAAAAGACATTTATTCGCTTGAGAATCAGGATAAAGTGTATAGTAGCATGTGTGCATAGCATTCATTGTAATAACATATCAGCATTACAATACTGCTGTCAAAGGTCACCAATTTAAAGTACACAAGAATGAGGGACCTACATAGTCAGCTCAACCCAGGGCCTAAACTGGTGTAACCTTACCATGACACTCCCAGAACTGTGTCTGCACTGAATATTTGACAACCAAGTTCATAGCTTCTACCATGTTACTAATTAAAAATGGATAAATGGGTCAGCTGACTATGAGGCAGGCGGCAAGATAAAAAAAAAAAAAAACGTTTTGTACAATTGCAAGCTACTCTAAGGAAGAACCAAATTTAAACCATATCCAAAAACAACGTGACTAATCTAGTAATACTTTCTGTGGAAACAGACTGAAGACAGAATGCTGTAGAAGAGCTGCTGCCTTCATCTTTATGGCTGATGGCTTTTGTGATTCGCCTCTGCTCCTCTTTTATGAAATTAATTAAATGATTTTGACATCTTGAGTGAAAAGGCAGCATGTGACCTGGCAAGGACTAATACAAAAAACAGGAAGCCTGCAGTAATTGCTCAATACTACACTAAGAAGGGGGTAACAGAAAAGTGGAGTGATGCAATTAAAACTTCATTGGAGGTGACTAGAGAGCATGTTTCCATAACTATATTTTACACTGTGTGGCAAAGAAACACAGAAAGTTAAAACAGGTTTAGCCTGCCTTTTTTATTAGTAGATCTATCCTGTAGTCTAGAAAGTATCCAATAATGACAAATGGCAGAAAAGGCTAAAGGAAGTAGGAATTGTCTTAAAATGTCATGTGTAAACCTATTGCACACATATTCTGGACCCTGTATATCATTGTTAACCTTGCAAGGTATATAAACATGAAATGAACTGCCGATGTCTAGGTGGAAAGCCCTTTTGTATAACAACAGTCATCAGTGCAAAATCGAGGCGGGCAGGTAACAGAAGCATGAAGGTTACCTTGTCAACAATAAACTCTGCTGGGCGCTTCCAGGTGTGAACTTTTAAACACGGAGGCAGAAGAAGCTTTCCTTCGGGATCCTCAAAAAATGGCTGCATACAAAAGGGAACAAAGTGAATGTGAAGTACAGAAACCATAAATTAACACAACTTTACAATTTACGTAACCCTAGCTACACATATTACATATATTCTTTACAGGGTAGTTTGGGTAATGATAAATTAACTGATTATTAAAAAAAAAAAAAAAAAGTAAATATTGTCCTCTTCATATTTACAGCACTAGGACTCTTGGTTGGCTTGCCATCCTCAGGACCTCTGTTTGAGTCCCATTTCTCCCTGTTGACGTCTGCATCATTCCACTCGGGCCAAATGGGGACCCTGTATTTCCCCACACCTCCTAGGCTCTCAGAGGAAGTGGCTGCTAGAGACGCTGCTCTGAAATTATGACATACTTCATTTGTTCTGTGCGAGTTTTTAAACAACACAGTTAACCAGCTCCCCGATTTATTAAATAAACCAAACCAGTTCCCTTTTACCCTCAGACAACGAAAGAAATACTGTAAATACTAAAGTACATCTCTTCTTAAGTGGCTTAATGGTAGCTAACGCTAAAGCTAACTATGTCTCTCCTTTCATTACACTGAACTCACTCCGTCTGCCGGTCGGATAAAGACACTTTGCTGGAAGATGACTCCTTTTTCTTTGGATGTGCCTTGGACATTATTGTGGCAAAGACGCGGGCAACTCACATAGTAAGAGAAGGAGACTCTAGAGGCGGCCTTTGTTTATCATCGCCTCTCTGTCTTTGTCAAACTGCTCTTGAAAGTTTATGCGTTGCTACGCAACCGAGCTGTAACGCGGGAGGGAGAGGCCTTGAACAGTTGCGTCTCTTGTTGCTATAGTGAAGGATGGACATATTTAAATTTTAAGCATCTTCCCATCTACCACAAGAAAGCGGTGTATATTTGATATATTAGAAGAATTCCTTAACATAAAATGAAATTAAAAGCATTACTACCAAAAACTACAGAATATGCTGCAGAGTTTCATAAGCTGAAGCAGACTGGAGTACCAACAATGAAAAATGTTACACTAGTGCTTGTAGGCTTAACAGCTGGCAGATCTCTGTGCTAGGTGTGTGGAAGAGCACAAGCTCTAGTAGTGAGAGAACCCTGTCTGATGACTATCACACACTGTTTCGTGAGAGGAGTCACATGGAGCACCCTGCACACACATACACACACACACTGTAGTTTTCACAAATACAGCTGTCGTCAGTGCTTTGAATTACTTAAAGGTAAGTTTAACACAATGGGTATAGTGTTTTCTAAAATGTGGTATATATAGTTTTCAAAATTAGTGTTAATAAAGCACTTCTGATCAACAATTGCAGTGTGTATTTCCTATGAAGAGATCCAAGTCCTCACAAGCATTAGTGCTTGTGCTCATAATGCTAATAAGAAATTTGTTACTAGGAGAATATTCCCAGCTCAGCCATGCTTGAATTTCTACATGCCAATAAAAGCAGGGTATTAATATAATAAGGAATAGTTATACTGCTATGATCTTTTAGGTATACGGATCGGAATACGTTTACTAATTCATACAATCTACCAGCAGATTATGCAACATGATTGATTGATTGGTAATAAAAGATTGGTAATGTACACTGTCACAGTGTTTTCTTGTTACATATGTATAGAGTTCCGATAAACACATTTAATCAATTCATACAGTTGAGCAGACAAGTTAATCACAAGTGGACAGCACAAACCTGTTCGAATGTTTATTCTAGTTTTGGTCTTGAGGTTTTTTTTTTTGGTTTTTTTAAGTATTTCTACATGTAAACGTGTTTTTAAAAAATCCTTTGCATTTCATCTGAACAGTTTAACAGATTAGCATCCAAAAAGACAACTGAGCGTAGTCCCAGTAGTCTGTTTCTGCTTTTCACAAATTCCAAAGGTATACAATACATAATCCAACACAATTTAAAAATGCATACTGAAACATACATGAACATACTATCGTACCAGTGGAGAGACAATCAAAGAAAGGTTTCCTATTGTCTCATTTAGTATCATCATTAAAGTTTTTATTGTTACTCTTATTACTGAAATACTTCATTGTCCAGCTGTATACTTCTGTGTAAAGTAAATGCGCGATCCATTGCCTCACTAAAATATGAATCAACTAAGGCACTTATAGAGAAAATATGGCATTAAGACAACACATTTCTAATAAGATAATACTTAACTAAGATGCCCATTTACTTGCTTTTTTACACGGTACTCTAAAAAAGAGAAAAGCTACAGACACAAACATGATTTGCTGTTGTAAGATGAAAAATTAAGGGCCATTAAAGTCCACATACGTTGGTTCTGAGACACTTTTTTGTTGCTGGGTGACAAAAATAAACAGAAGGAGGCTGAGAGAAAGTACAGCAAAGAAAACACACAGACTTTGAAATGCTACAGGTTATTTTAGAGCTTGGGTTTCTCAGCCTTTTGCTTAGATTGAACCCTTCTTCAGTGCGATACAGTCTCGAACCTTCAGAGGCTGTCAGAACAACAAGGGGTGAGTGAGTGAGGTGAGGTTTGCTGGTGGTGGTGAAATGCACCCTAACATGAAGACAGCACCGAAGATCCTGAAAGAGTTGTGTAGATACAAGAAGGGGAGCGGTTAAGGCAAATCTAAAAAAAAAATTTATCTGTGTAAAAACTACGGATACAGAGGTCAAAATGGGCATCAGTGAAAAGAGAAGTTCCTGGAGCTTTGAAGACTCACAAAAAATAAAAACAACCCCAAAAAATATATTCCTCTCCAAGGCTGCAATAGAGAGCAGGAGCCACAGGCTGGATGGGTGCCAAAGGGAGGCTAATGTGAATGGATTGAGTGTTAGCAGCAGCCTGACTTGCTCTCAGCAGCCACAGTCTCCTGGTCCAGTTTGATCCTGTCTCCATTGCTCTCCTCATATGGCAAACCTTTGTCGTTAGCCAAGATGTTCTCTACCAGGAATCGAGCAGCTTCATCCACATTGATGTTGTCCTATAGAAAGGTCAAAGCATATATTAGAGAGGTGATAAAAAAAAAAAATCATAATTAAAACAAAAAGTCATTTGCAGCACAGTATGTATGGAGACTGGAAATTTCCTCTGCCTTGGCCTGCACTATGGTCCTCAGAGCAGTTTCAGAAGTTCACGAAAGCCCTTTATGTGAACCAGCCTGTTTAGCTGGGTAACAGAAGGCAAAAGTGAGACCAGCAGAGACAGGCTGAAAATCACTGTTTGCCTTTGTCCTTCACACTGTGGCCCAAAAGCTGTCATAGCATGGGTTGAAGAGGTAATGAATATTTATGGGTTTTGTTCAGACTCTACAGTAGCAAAGATGTTTTCAAAAAAGGCCTGGGCACCTCAAGTAAAGGCGAACAGAAATAAAATAAAGATTTAAAATATAATGAAATAAACTGGTTTGTAGTATTTACTCTATTAAAGACTACTGAGCTAAAACAGTACTTACTGGTATGCTAGCTCAATCAAGCTAGTCTTAAAGTAATTTCTTTTAATAAATTGTAATGGCATGTGGTTGTTGACGACATTATAGCTCATAGTTCACCGTGACTTTGCATTTTCCCCTTGTACTGTCTTAGGGAAAATATGCTCTTCGTCATTTGAATCAGCATGAATGTTTGGCACTTATTAACAGAATCCCAGTCGCAGGCTGTTTTGGGTTGAGTTTAGTGCAAGTGTGACAGGCACACAAAACATTAACCCACAGAAAGGAACTGGCTCTGCACTCATCACACGCCCACATAGACACGTCACATGACTCGGTATGTAGCACAGCTCCAGGAACAACAGTTATTTAGAATGAGCTAAATGGAAACAGCTGATTCCAGAGTCATCAAAGCATTCCACAACATGGAAACATAATGGATGTTTGTTATTTGAAATGTACATGTGCGTGACTGTAGGCATTTCCCGGTTTATCGGCTTGTCATTTTGAAGTTTCCAAGAAGGAAGAGGCTCACTGAGGGAGAAAAAAAAAGAGGTCTCCTTGGAGTCTTAAAATATAGAATATTCATGATCACAAAACAAAGTTCTACAACATGTACTAACAACTGAGGCACAGAACTTTTAGCACAACTAAGTTTAGCACTACACTTTATTTCAGATGGAAATATTATACCTATCGGAACATTTTATGAGTTAATTAATTACCAGTAATGATTCGGTTGATTAATGATTAATTTATCTTTTAAAAGGCCCTATTTCCAATCCACTCTCAAAGAGTTATAAGATTTTTCTAAACTTTGTAAAGTATGAGCGTATCTAAATTTCCCTTCTTTCTACGTGGATAACGGTCCTTTAAAAGGGCGTAGAGAACAAACACCATTAACATTAATATATCTCCAAGCAGTAGGATGTGGGACCTTTAAATTAAAGTGTGTGGAAGAGAGAGATGAGAATTAGCTTACAAAGCAAATGCAAGAGGGCAGCAATCTCAAGATAGTAATAGCAAACCAGTGACATCATGGCGCAAGTTGAAAAGAAACACTACAAAACATTATCATTCAAACCTTTATCCCTCTAATCCTTGCAGCTCTGGGCTGTAACATCCATCACTGTCATGTGATACCTTATCACACCAGCTGTCCAACAACTTTTTTACCAGATATTGTGCGTGCATGCATGCATGCCAAAGACAGCTGGATTGATGATTGTCTTCTTTGAAAAGAAATTTAATTGTTCCAATGTATTCGGTAATTTTTAAGTCATTAAACAGATTGCAGCCCTTTCTAATGCAAATTACTTACAGGCCTCCATATTGTGGAGATGGAAAATTATTTTACTGTTACTATTCGTAATCATTATTATTACGGTTGCATCACTTATGATTTATTATCACTTATGAGTTATCATTATTGTTTGAAACGCATTTATTGAAACTGTTGATGTTACATTGAAGTCTGTATTTCAGGTGTTAGCTGAATTACATAATAATCTTTCATTGCAGGTGCAGCTGTAATCATGTTATACACATATTGCATTTTTGTGCTAATTAAAGAGTTGAAGCTCAGTTGATAATGGTCGGAAGCTTCGGTCAGCGTGAGTTTGATCGATCAATTGGCGTACCTGTTGGGCTAATGAAAGACTGCATACATGCTTACAATTTACCACATATTATATAGGAATATAATAAAGGCCTGTGTGCCCTCATGTTGCACTGGAGTCTGCCTGGTAACACATGACTCAAACGGAGTCAGGGAGTATGCTTCTGAAATGTCTTTGTTTGTCGAGTAAGGTCATGCACTGAGGTCAAGACACACACAGGGTGCCTGCACACACACATATATAGTATTTAGATAGATACTGGTTTGCTTAAAACTGCAAGTTGTACCTGCATACGTGACAGTTTAATTCCACAGATAAGTGAAGTGAAATAACAGGAAGCATCTGGCGATAGTGGAGGAATATAGGAAGGAAATGCTCTTTTTTAGAATATGTCCTAGGATCTCTGGAAACTTACTGGAACTTATGCTTGTTGATTATCTGCTTGTGACGCACTATTTTATATATATGACACCCCATGTATTGTTCTGGGAAGATCGATGCTGTGTGAGGGATCGTGCTCGGCTTCCCATATGTACATCATATGTTAATAAAATAATCGTTTTGACGCACCTTACTGGGACTTGGCAGTCGTTTGTCTTCACCTCAAATCACGAATTCAGGACAATATGTAACACTGAATTCTGAATCAAAAATGCTAACATGAACAACTGCTGAATGGGCTTCTGACTAAAAAAAAACAAGAACGTGTAACAATTTCACAAT